CTGTAACCGGTTACAGCAAACCTATTGACCCTGCAAACGAGGGTCGGGATGGGCGGGACAGGGTCGGGATGGGCGGGACAGGGTCAATACGTTTGTTGTAACTGGTTAAAGCAACCTCTTGCTACCAGCGGTTACAGCAACCGGTTGCTGTGTCCGTTTACAACCGTTGCAGCAACGGTTGCTGTAACTGCTTACAGCAACCGTCTGTTGCAACTGGTCTTAGCAAACGGGCGATGTAAGCACTTACAGCAAATGGTTGCTGTGACCTGCTTGTGGGACTACAACCGTAGATGCAGTGTCTCTAACTGTTGTCTTTCCCGTCGTGTCCGTCCTTGCAGCAACCGGTCACTCATCAGCTTCAACGTCTTCGACAGTCCCGCATCCACGTGCGTCATGGCCTGTTCAAGCAAGGCCAGCTCAAGTAAGGCCACCACCGCGGCCAAAGGCAAGTCCCAGTCCAAGCACCTCGTGTTCGTGGCCCAGCCGGAGGAAAGACAGAAAAGTTTGCAGAACGAGAAGACCGTGTACACGTGGATTGAGCAAGGGCAGGAGGCGGACCCAAAAGAGTATGGGCAGTACAGGGTGAGGTGTAGGCTGTGCAACCAGTTGTTCATAACATCGAAGTCACGTGCAGTGCAACATTTCCTGAAGAAGAGAGCAGCATGTCCTTACCGCACGGGGGAGATTCTCCATCTGTTGGCGTTGGATGGAGCTAACGTTAAAGAAGGGGGTGCAACAGCTCAGACAATGCTGCATAAGTACAGAATGGACAATGGCATCGGCGAGGATTGCGGCTTGGAAGCGGACCCATTGCGTCAGGCAGCAACGGAGCTGGAGGAGCATATTGTCCCACCTCTTGCACCAGGGAGGGAGTCTGTTGTAAACATTGACACCACCCAAGAGGTTGAGCCTTCCGAACCAGATGTGGTGGTGGGAGATGAGACGGCCCCTGGTCCGTAAGGTCAGGCATCCACAAAGGTGTCGAAATCGGGGAAGACAACACAAACTTCCATCAGGAAGTGGACAGAGAAAACCGCCCAAAAAAGACTTGATCTTGCATGGGCGGAGGCATTGTACAGGGCGGGTGTGCCATTCAACTTCATCCGGTTGGACAAGACGAAGGAGCTTCGTGAGGTGTACATGGAGTTGGCGGCCCGTAATGCACGAATGGACTTGCCTGCCTTTGAAACCATCCGGACAGTGGCTTTGAATATTGTGTATGACAATGTTCGGGCAGAGGTGCGGCTGCTTATGGACAAGTGGGACATCAGAGGTTGCACTCTCATCACTGATTGGACCCAAGACAAGAAATCGAGGGTTGTGTTGAACTTTGTAGCGGCTGGAGAGAGCGGGGCTGTGCTCATCAAGGTTGTGGATGTCTCTGATGGGAAGAAAAACGTGAGAGCGTTGGCAAAGTTATGGGAAGAGGTGATAAGGGAGATCGGTGTTCCTAGGGTCAATGCAATCTGCACTGACAATGCATCAACGAACAAGTGAGCGGCGAAACTCCTATCGATGAGGACTGACAAAGCCATTGCGAAGATTCCTTGGATCCCGTGTGCTGCCCACACCCTGAGCTTGCTACTGAAAGACATATCCAACATCGCATGGATCAAGACGGTGTGGAAGAAGGGAAGGAATTTGGTGAAGTTCATCAAGAATCACCAAAGCACGATGGGGTTGCTGAGTCGCTGTTCCATGGGAGACAGGAAGGTGCTTGTCATGCCAACGGAGGTCAGATTTGTGTTTGTTTACCAGATGTTGATCCGTATATGGGACAGGAGACATGTGCTGAAGCGCATGATGGACAACGGCTGGTTGGACATCTACTGGAGCAGCCGGAAAGACAGGGAGGATGCAGAGGATATCTTCGCTCATGTGAGATGTGACATCTGGTGGCAAAAGGTGGACACCATTCTCTCCATCATGAAACCCATATACGACCTGCTGCGAATGATGGACAGTGATGGGGTGGCACCTTCACAGCTGTGGGGCTTCGACGACCTCCTCAGCAAGCGGATGCGGACCATGTCAGGTGTGACCAGCGAGCAACACCACGAGATAATGAAGCTGGTCGTCGATCGTTGCAAGATGATGCGTTAGCCAGCCCATGCAGCAAACTTCTTGTTGTCACCTGCGCGGAGGGACCCCAGATGGTTGCTGAACAAGGACTCCCCACTCGTCCACAACGCATTGAAGTTCTTCTTGACACAGTTGGGCGGGAACTCTTGGGGCGATTTGGACTCTCACGAGGAAGTGTGGAACAGCCTGTGGACATTTCATTGCCAACCACTAAAGGAGAAGATAAAGGATGAGGACTTGTGCAATCGGTTCGCTATTGCCGACGCATATTTGGAGAGGAAGACAGCATCTCAATGGTGGGGCTTATACGGGTCAAAGCACATCGAATTGCAGAAAATCGCAATGCGGGTGATGGCAATGTGGAGCACGGCAACGCCATGCGAAAGGAATTGGTCGTCTTTGGACTTGGTCCACTCCAAACGGCGGAACAACTTGTCCAGTGAAAGTGTAGCCAAGTTGGTCTACATTCACTGGAACATGCAGTTGTTGCGGGTTCCTAGGAGCACGACTGACGGGCTCATTGATCTGTGGGCAACCTTCTTCGACGAGCCTGAGGCACCTCCGGTGGCGAACGATGTAGCCAAGGATCGTCGTGAAGTGGACAAGGAGGAGGAGGCGGCGAGGGTTGCACGCCTGAAAAAAATTCCGAAAGGGAGGCTTCCTGCTGGCTTGTTGAGCGATGATTCTGGGAGCAGTGACAACGAGGACTCGTTATGGTGTGACAAGGCGGACAACAGGGTGCATCGAGCACGAGGTGGAAAGGGGAAAGGGAAGGCCGCTGTGGTTGAAGACGAGGAGGACGAGTGGGATGATGATGATGATGATGATGACACCGACTCGGATTTCGAAATTCGTCCATGCACGGGCTGCACGGACTCTGACACGGACGGAGGACGGACCGACTTGTGGGACGTGCCCGAAGCAACGAGTCACTTGGACAATGACGATGACCTCATCGTTGAGGACAGTGAGGCACGTGATCGCAGGGTCAGAGCGGAAGCACAATCTCTGGCGGACAGGGATCGTGTAATGGTGCAACAGCGTATGGCAGAGGAAAACTCACGTCGACTAGCAGTCCCCGCACACCTCAGAACCGTGGAGGGGCATGTGCAGCAACAGGCCGAGCAACGACCACAGGAGCCGGTGCAGCAGCTGGTGGAGCAGAATCCGCAGCGGGTGGTGCGGCAGCAGCAGGAGCAGCGCCCGCAGTAGAAGCAGCAGAAGCAGCATGAGGCGGAGCCAGGGCGGCAGCAAGTGGAGCAGCAGTTGCACTTGCAGCAGGACATGGAGCGGGAGCAGCAGAATGTGAAGCAGCAACAATAACAGCACAACGAAGAGCAGCAATAACTGCAGAACGAAGAGCAGCACCAACAACCGAGCCAACAGCCGGGCCAGGAGCAGCACACGGGTCAGCAGCAGCAGCAAACAGATCAACAGCAGCACCACGTCGAGCAGCAGCAACAACAGCCAAGGGATCAACAACAACAGGACGTGGAGCAGCAGCAGTAGCAGCCAAGAACAACAGCAGCAGCCGCAACAGTGACCACTACGACAGACATTGCACCAGAAACTGTTGCTGGCTCCAACTTTTACTGGCCCCACCGATGCCTCGCTTGGACGAGGCCATGGTCCATGACAACGTGGACATCAGCAGGGCTGGGAGAAAGAGAAACGTTCCCGTGGAACCTGTCGTTGCGAAGCGCAGGCGTGGGCGCCCAAGGAAGGGAGAGGGGAAGTTTGTTGCGGCAGTACTTGTTCTGCCCCCCATGGCAACAGCGGCCGGTAGGCCGAAACGCAAACAACGGAAGCAGGTGGTGGTCGAGGATGACCCCACCGGGGCAGAGGACAGCAGCGACGGGCAACGGGAGTCGGATTGCGACTGGCCGTGACCCTCATGCACATGTCTCATCAGCATCTTCTTCTTCTTCTTCTTCTTCGTCTTCTTCTTTCGTACTCTTCTTCTTTTTCATCTTTCGTACAGACTCTACGGTGACTACACTGCGGTAATTCTTTCTTAAAGTTCACAAACGATGGATCCTCACATATATAGAGATTATTGAGAGAGAGAGAGAGAGAGAGAGAGAGAGAGAGAGAGAGAGAGAGTTTCTGTGTTTCAGAACTTCTGGAAAAAAAAAACACAGTGTCTGTGACTCTGTCACTCTACTTTCTGTGCTGATCTGTGCTGATCTGTGGTGTGTGAGACTAATGTGTGTTTCTGCTGTGTGTCAGTGGTGTGTGCATGAAGCTGTTGGTTGGAACCGGTTGAAGTTCGTGTGTGTCAGTGGTGTGTTTCTGTTGTGTGTGTCAGTGGTGTGTATCAGTGGTGTGTTTCTGTTGTGTGTGTCAGTGGAATGTGTCAGTGGTGTGTTACTGCTGTGTGTGTGAGTGGTGTGTGTCAGTGGTGTGTTTCTGCTGTGTGTGTCAGTGGTGTGTGTCAGTGGTGTGTGCATGAATTTGTTGATTGCCCTGACTGTTTCGTGCAACCGGTTGCTGGAACCGGTTGCCTTGACTGTTTCGTGCGACCGGTTGCTGGAACCGGTTGCCTTGACTGTGTCATGCTACCGGTTGCTGCAACCGGTTGCCTTTACTGTTTCATGCAACGGGTTGCTGAAACCGGTTGCCTTGACTGCAACCGATCGCTGCAACCGGTGCATGCAACCGGATGCAGCAACCGGTTCATGCAACCGGATGCGGCAACCGGTTTCAGCAAACAGGTGCTGCAACCAGTTGCATGGACCGGTTGCTTTAACCGGTTACTGCAATCGGTTTCAGCAATCGTTTGATGCAACCAGTTCGAGCAACCACTTGCAGCAAGCACTTGTTGCAACCGGTCGGAGTAACCAGTCCCAGCAACCCTGCCCTGCTTCCCCACCCCTCCATGCCCAAAATACAACTATTCCAAAAATTTAAAAGACCACGGATTTGGAGAGGTCTCGGGGAGCACAAATCATCCCCGCGGGAAAAAAATAAAAATAAAAAAATTGACCGGTTGTTGGACTTGCTCGGGTCACCCGGGCGACTAGATCCGACCCGCCCAGGCCCGTGAGGGCCTGGTAACCCAGACAAAAATACAAATTTGCATGATTTATGGAGTACACAACATTCGTAATGAATGTGACCCATTATTAGGACCACATTCAAAATGTATTTATGAATTGTGCATCCATCCAGATACATTGAAAATATTATTCATGATAACAATATCATTGTCAATCTCTCTCTCTCCCTCTCTCTCAAATGGATATGCGTACAAACATTGATTGATTGATTAATTGATTGATTTATCGATTGATTAATCGATTGATTCGTCGATTGATCAATTGACGATTGATTGATTGATTGATTGATTGATTAATCGATGATGGATGAATGAATGAATTGTCTGTGGACTGATTGATTGACTGATATTGACTGATTGATTGATTTTTTTACTTCTTTTTTAAAGAAAGGGTTGACCTCGTCTCTCGCCCCCCCCTCTCTGTTTTCAATAGGGGGCTGAAAGACTCTTCCACCCCCTCTTCCCCCACCTGTGTTCTCGAAAGTGGGACTCCTAAAATGGCAACGACTGATCTTAAAAACCGGTTGTAAACGATGTATTAAGGGGGTTGTGAATAACCGTTCAAGTTCAGTGGTCACTAAACACTTAGTTCTACGTTGAAGGGCAATCTGTTGTTTTTACGTTTTATCATACACAATAGTTAATTCCAGGTGAAAAATTTAAGTGGTAGATTAATTATCATGAAGCCAAACCACTTGGATCTACTAACATGAAGTGGTTGCTTTCTGAAACTCCTATTGAAGTTTTGAGGATTACCATATAAATTATAAATCACACATTCTATGATGATGAATACATTGTCAAATCAACCCTAAGTAAGGTGATTGTATTAAAATATAAATATTTTTATATGTTTGGCTAGGGGTTGACTATTAGGAATGTGGTTTTAGACTTTTAGTACCATTTTTATATTATTTGGTCAACAGGAAAAAAATTGATCAAAACACTCGAACCAAGACGTTTTTTTTTTTTTTTGCAGAAACAATTGTAAATCTAATAACGCAATTAGTTGAATTCCTTGATATTTGATATCTCAATTAAAATTTCAGGGGAGATTTGAAAATTAAGATCCTCAATTGCATAGTATTAGACTCTTTCTTTTCAATGCATGAAGAAATCATCGTTTTCAATAACATTTCATGAAAAACACAGACACTGTAGTAGATTGTAAAGGTAAGCACCATGATCCCTCCCTCGTTGAACCCACTGAAATGGTTGAAAGATAAATATTGCGTTATCTTCAAAAAAATTTATCTCACGGCTCATCGGATAAAATGGTCGCTAGGAATCATCTTACTAACAATGATTTATAACCGATAAGAACTTGGAGAAGCATAAAAGGTTACCAATTTCAAAGACACACTCCTTTACCTGATGGAAAAAGTCCCATTTTAAGAATAGATGAATAACAAATAAGATTTGAGAAATATATTATGCAGAAATCATTCGAGTCTTTGAATAAATTAAGTTAGTAAAAAAAAAATCAAGGTTTGAAACTTTTTAGACTAGAAATTTAGTCAACAAAGGGCAATTTATCAACTACGAAGGACACAAATATTTTTATCATGTGACTCAATACTGAGATTCACAGGGAATTTTTTAACATTTCGAATACACAAATTTGACACCACTACTACACCATTTACCACAAAGATAAAATTTTATTTTATATTATTTTTAATAATTATATATCTTGAATGATTGCCTATTGAAATTATAATTTTATAAAATATGCATAAAGTTCGTAAATGTATTTACCACATCCATAATTTTAGTCCAATACAACCGGTTTGTGATTCAGGTAAGAAAGGAGACTGATTAATTGGAGCTTTGCCACATTAAAATAAAATTGATTAGATAATAAGAATAATGACAACAATCTTTTGTTTTACGCACAAGGAGGTAGAAACTCTAAGATGCAAAAAATTGAAATGGTTCATGATGATGAGGTGGGTTATAAACTTTTTCATCATTCTGTCATCATTCCTAATTTGAGAATAAGATTATTGCAATAAAGTTTTATTTTATTCAAAGACAATTACTATTACCATAAGTATGACTTTGACCAATGCAAAACCCCATCTCCCTTGAACTTTACCTGCTACAAGTGATCGCATTATCTCATCTCTTTATTTCGACGGTATCCAAACCACTTTTCTGAATCGACGAGTCGTAGATCATTGTGTGTTGACGTAATAACAATCATGTAGGCCCATGCCCTCGTTCCTATTATATGGCGGTCAAGACTATTTATTGAATGTATCTCTTCAATATGAATTATGTTCCTCCACTTATTTTTTAAGCTACACCTTTGAGTATGTCAAACAAGAAGTGCAATTTTAAGTGATCGATATTCGTCTAATTATTCATATTGACCAAATATGTGGTAAGCTCCGATGACCTAAACACTATAGACTAACGATTATTCTGTCGATATTGCACTATAATTGCTTTCATCATTATATAAGATTTTTTGTACAAACACTAACCTATTCTATGACTGATTCCTTCATTGGTATAGTGGTTGAAGCCCTACAAGCAAGTTGATGGTTGATTCCTTTGATGGCAAATTCTTTTTCGAGTTAGATACGTAATACTGGTTCTCTAACTTAGAGTAAGGAAATCATCACCAATATCATGTGTAGGTTGCATTGTCTCCGTATGTCGTTTAGTTGCTTGTTCCGAGTACAGTAGTTGCTTTACCCTTTGTAGTATATTACCACTCTAACTAAGACCTTGCTGATTCTGACCAAAACAAGCAGGGGTTCAAAAATAACATAGGATTCATGAAAACCTAACAAAACCAATAAAACCCAACATTTTGTACAAAGTGAAATCGTCGAAGTGAAACAGTTGTATTTAACAAAAAAAGAACAACGTCTGTAATCCTTTCTTGAAAGACGAGGCAAAAAAACGAGCTAAAAGTGAGGCGATTTAAAAAATGTGTCGGAAAACTCTTTCTAACAATGATCCTGTTATAGGACTAAAAGTGATTTCTAACAGACAAGCAAATCACATAGCTCCAAAAAAAAAATCGCTAGGCAATATGAAACCTGAAAAAAAAATATAGTTCTAGGGAATACTAATGTATAGGACTATACGTCGTTCTCAAAGTATAAGTTCCTATAAAGCAATTTAAAAGCTGACAGTGAAAACGTTCTAAAAAAATATATGATATGTAAAATAATAACACAAACAACTTT